TGGGAGAGATGAAACAAAGATGAATGAGATCCATGTCCCCCTGGTGTGCACAGTCCGGCAGGGGAGATAGGAAATTTAGATGGATAACAACAACATAAATGTAGAAAGTGATAAATAACCATAAGACGGGCTAAAATAAATGCAGTGGTGGAAGAGGGCAGGTTCTGGAGGAAGAACAGGCATATGGAAGTAAAAACTAAAGCTACAAGAAAGAGACAGGAAGAGAAAAGGGTACGAGAGAAGGAAAAAAAAAGAGGAGGGAAGGAGAGGAGAAAAAGAGGAAGAATGGGAAAGAGACCAGGGAAAATTTAAACGGAGTGGAAGTAGAAGGAGAGCAGGGAGAACCTTCAGGATGAGCATGAGTGAGAGACTGGCAATTTAAAATGTGGGGACACATGGAGGCTCTGGCTGTTGCCTGGAAAGGCTGGGAACCAGCTCAAATGTGTTAATGCCCAAGATGCTCACTCTCCTTCCTACCAGGAATCACTGGGGAGAATTTGGCAAATGAAAGTCCATTGGCCCCTTGGAAAGAGAAGAGAGGAACGGAGAAAAATCCCAATGCTGGACCTGGGAAATTATATAACATTAGTGATGAAATTTCACGAAGGAAACAGACACCATATATATGGTTTTCTTTCAAGTCTCCTGTATCTTGGTAAACAGTTTTAAAATAAGAAAATGGAGACAGTAGAACAAAGGGTACATTAAATATATACATTAAATATATTTGTGTACATTAAATATGTGTGTGATACACATGTACACACACATATGTATATTTATATATATATTGTGTGTGAGGGGTCTTGCTGTGTTGCCCTGGCACGTTCTGGAGATAACATAACAAACATAACAAATTCCCTGCTCTGAAGCTTAATAAGGAAGACAGACAAATTAACAAGCATTTGAAACTCAGAGCAGCATGTTACCTTGGGATCACAGAGGAGAGAACCACTATCAGTCAGTGGACTTCAGGGAAGTCCTAAATGGCACTGAGGTGAATAAAGGGACTATGGACTTCAGTGAGGTAAGATAACATGAGAATTGTGGTGGATCAATTGGCCCAATTTCATAATCATGTTAAGTGTTGCTGGAACCTGGATAGCAGAAGCACTAAAGGCAAATGGTATTTTTTTCCTAGGTCAGGATTTGACAAAGCCAATCAGAAAGAGGGGCACAATAACCAAAGACTTGAGCTTTTATAGTTGAAATGGCTGCTCATGGGATCAGATAAGCAGGTCTGAAAAGAAGTGAGAGTACAGGAGAGAAGGGAACAAAGCCCAGGAGAGGATGAGAAAACCTATGACTCACCAGGATGATAGTTTTGTCCCTCTCATGTTCCCAGGAAATCTGCTGATACATAGAGGGGAGCTTAGCTTGGAGGACTCTGAGCTGGAGTCCAAATGCTATGAGCCCAAGGCTGATCCTTTGGGCAAAGGTAGCTGACTGCAATTATGGAGCCTCTTGTGTGGAACTTTATCTGGAGAAAATAGGGCTATGGTAGATGAGCTTGAACAGAAATAAGCAATTCATGTGCTTAAAAAAAAAATCTAAATTCAGCATGGAAGCATTATGGAATCTGTTCCCAGCTCAGCCCAATGGATGCAGTTCCTTGTGAAAAAAACAACGTAGACAAAATAGGTATCTCTGTAAAACTCAGGAGCTGCTTGGGGACTTCTCTAATGGTTGTAAAACAGAGAAGATGATCCTTTCATCCTCCCCATCTCTCTGAACTTACACATCAGAAAACCTTAGTTTTCTGGTAATAAGGCTTAGCAGAGAGCAGGACACCAAGTGGAGCTGAGGTACTCCTAGTGGGAGAAGGTTTATTCATGAACCAATGCCCAGGGGCCCAAAGATACAGCCCAGAGGGAGCTTGGAGTGGGGCTGCTCAGTCAATGGCAGAGACAGGTCAATAGAGAATGGTTCTCATTCTCTACTGTACAGGCAGAAGAGCTTAAGCTTTTAGGCTCTGGAATGACATAGTTTAGTTCTGTAACTTACTAGCTGTGTGAATTTGGTCAACATATTTTAACTCTTTGAGCATGTTCCTGAGGTCCACTGCTTCCTCTAGTGGATGAAGTAAACGAGACATTTCATGCAGTCCTTTAACCCAGTCAGGCTTCAGAGAAGGAATTCCCTCTCTCTGATGGTGCCTCCTCATCCCTTGTCTCCTTCTCACTCATCTTAAGTTTAAATGTCATTTTCCCACCCTGGAGAAGGCATCCCTGAGCACTGTAGCAGACTCTAGGTTGCTACCCAAATTCTAACTACATCTTACTTGGTTTGAACATCTACTTCTCAAAGAATACAATCCTAAAGAGTCTGGGGACAAATCCTGAAGAACTTAACCCAACCAGTCATCATAAGCCCCTCTCTACTCCCAGCATTTAGGGGTGGGGGTGTGATTCAGTTTTGACTAATGTCAGGTGAGAAGTCTCAAGCTCCTGAGAAAGATTTCCCCACTCTTGTAAAGAGACACTCTCTGAACTGATGTGATTCTGCAATTTGTATACGGGGTAAAAATGGGAGTTCATAACCCACTTGAATCAAAGTGTGAAATATGATATATCAAGAACTTTGTAATGTTTTGAACAACCAACAATAAAAAAATTAAAAAAAAAGAGAGACACTCTCTGTTACCTTCAGGCACTGTTCAGTTGCTCCAGCCATTCTGAGACATGGATGGGTGGCTCTGGACAGGGACAAAGCTGACAGGCTGGCTATCACAGGGGGAATAACGGAAACAGCCTGGGGCACTCCCTGACATTGCTGAATTGCTGAATTCACCAGGGAGAGCCTCCTGACCTTGGGCCTTCTTGGTCATATGAAACAATAAATTTCTTTATCATTGATGACATTTTAAATTGGGTTAATTATTAATGGCAGCCTCCCACACTTAAATTATGACGCCATATTTTTTTCTCACATATTTTCCTTCATAGTGTTTATCACATGTATGTTTACTTTTATGTTTATTTGTCTAATGTCTGCTTCTCCACAAGATAGCAGATTCTAAATTAACAGAGGTGACAGTTAATTTTGTTACTACTGAATCCCCACTGGGCCTGAGACAGAGGAGTGGTTAAAAGCATTTTATTGGAAAAATTAATAAAAGACTAAAAAATGGTTACTAGCCTTCCTCCTCCTTTTTGGGTGATATGGTTGAGATGACAGTACAGAATTGCTGGGAGAAATGTGAATTCCCATACTCTGAGGGGTATGATCATAGGTGGCAGTCTGTACCCCATGAATGGCTTTCAAGTTTTCTCTCAATTAACAATAAGAAGTACATACTACATGTTGTCCCAGGGCGCGCGCGCGCGCGCGCGCGCGCGCGCACACACACACACATATATATATATATATAACTAAACTGAAAGTTTTATAAAACATTTTTGCTCTTCCTATGTGTGACATACTCAGATATTTTATTGTACTTTTTCTAAAAAAAAGATGCTAGCTTTGACTCAATACATCAAGTTTATGACTCATTAATTAGCAACCCACATTTCAAAAACAACCTGGATTAAATGAAATGTAAGAGCTTCAAAAATCCCCCCCCCCCCCGTTTGTCATTAAATTGTTCACATGTTCACAAAACTTCAGTCCCTCAATTTACATGTCCTTTATTAGAAGGACATAGCAAAGACTTAATTATTTCCCCCTTTCTTGTGGAATTCTCTTTCGCCCCATGAATGTACAGATTCTGGCTTAAGTCCAGGAAAAAGTAGTTTGTATTTTTTTGCTTATTTTTCTCTAGTTTGCACAAAACAGAACTACATTCTTCTTCCTCTACACTTAATGGCCCCATTCAACAAATTTCCCCAGGCCTCATTTCTATATACGTTTATGTATGCAATAGTGCATGCTGGTGTTACATGAGCCCCACTGCCACCGTGTGGTTTTAAACCCAAGGGAGTCGGGTTCTAACATTCTGGATGCTCATGGAGAATAGACCCTCACTGTACTTCCCGTTCCTCAACATAGAAACTGCTCTTGTCCTCGGTAGATCTGCCAGTAGAATTCCTCTGGGCGCAGGAGGAAAAGGGGAAAAACCACATGGAGATCTCACAACTCCAGTCACGGCAAATAGTGCGGTGGGTGTATGTATATATTTAGAAAACCACAATGCACGCCTCAGGAAAAAATATGTACTCAAAAGGCGACGGCAGAGTATTAAATTAACTGCTTGAGTGATCAAGAAAGCTCCCTGTTAGAGACCTGCAGATGCAATTCCGGAGGTACAATCTCTGTCCCTTGAAACTCGGTTCAACCACTGCCTCTAGCGTCACGTGAACTGGCAAACTAACGCAAGTTATGGCTCCAGAGTTTGGGAAAAGCGCGTCGCCAATCTACTCTGGGGTCACACGTCTCCTAGAAGGGCACTGGTGTGACGGAAGAGAACAGGTCCAAGATGCGTGCGCCTGTTTGCGCTCTGGGAGGGAAGGCATGATAGGGGGAGCCTGCAGAAACAGACTGGAGGGATGGGGGATAGGGAGGGAAGAAGAGACGAACCCCTCCCCCCGAACTTTCCTCTCCCCTCGTCCCACACACTTGAAATAGAAATAATAATAACAGAAATATGCTACAACCACGATGTTATCGCCCTACTTAAGTTGCCTGGCTGGATGCTATGGGGTATAAAGTGCGGACTGCGGCGGTTTCCACTGGCTTGTCTGGGGAGTAAAGGTTCGGGCTGGTGCGGGCGCGCGCGCCGATGACCCCACCTTTGGGGAAGCGGGCTCCCTGCGGCTCGGCGCAACAGCCCGGACTGACCCCCGCCCTCCTGCGTCCCTCCTCTCGCGCTTCCTCCCCCTCCTCCCCCCGCGCGCCGCCTCTGCACCGGCCCCCGCAGAGGAGCTGGGCGGCAGCACCGACGCCGCCGCAGCTCCTGCCCGCCGCGCGCTCGCCGCGTCCCCGGCTCACACGCAGTCCGAGCGGCGGCGCCCGCGGCCCTGTGCCCTCCTTGCGCAGGGTGCGCACCGCCCGTGCTGGCTGAGCTGACCTGCGCTCGGCTCGGGCGCCGCAAGCGGCTGGGGAGGGCGGCGTGGGAGAGGACGCCGAGACGCAGGGGCAGCCACACAGAGGTGACAAGCTGCGCACCTGGAAAGTTACCCGGCTGTCTGGTGAGGTTCGCGGGCTGCGGGGTTTGGGCACCGGCACTTGTGGGGAGATACCCGTGTGCATGCTGTGAGTGCGCTGCGCGGTGCGCGCCTCGTTCCCCACCCAGCCGGTCTCATGCTCGTGCTGACTGCGTGTAGACGTGTGCACGCGTTGCGTTCACTCGGTGTGGCAGCGGTCGTTCGGTGTGGCACCTCGGTGTGGATCTCGGTGTGGATCTCCGTGTGGCAATAACAGCCTTCGCTGCTGTTTGGGCCTGGGGGCTTGACGATGCTGTCAGGGTGCTTTGCTTTCCTGAGCTCTTGGTCCCTCTTAGGAGACCAGCACTCAGGCAAGGACTTTTTTCCAAGTCCTTGTAAACTTGTGTGGGTGTCCTGTGTCACTCTGGGCACCCTGAGGCACTTGCACATCTCTGTATTTCCTGGTGAAGAAGAAACAAGAACAAACAGAAGAAAATAAGAAATCAGCCGTTTTGGGGAAGAGAAATGGGTGCAAGTCTGAGAAGAGCCATTGTGCAAATGCAGAGCAGGTTGGGTCCAGAGTTGAGAATACAAAGAAACAAGGCAGGAGGAGTAGTTAGGCAGAAAGGATGAAGCTCAGACAGATGCCTCGGTTTCCTGATCATCATGTTGTTCCTAGGGGCATTTTTTTTTTTTCTTAAATAAAGGAAGAGAGCAACATACACCTGCTCACCGCCACACCCCCATACATACTGTTCCTTAGGAATTGTCTCTTCTCTTTGCAAGTTTCTATTTAACTCATGGAGAAGGCGATCATCCCACATAACATGCAGCAGCTGTTGCCAGTATTCCTGTTTAGTTTTGCACAGGAGGGTATGAGCTGATATAGTGGAGAATTCTCTTTAGAAAATTAGAGACTGTCCTCTCTATTGGAATGCTGTGTAACTAAGAATAAGTGACATTCAAAGATGATGCCTCCAAACTGTATTGCGTTTCTCCCCTGCCTTGTCCCCACTTTTTTTTTTTTTTTTTTTTTTTGTACTAGGGTTTGAACCTAGGGACACTTAACCACTGAGTCACATCCCTAGCCCTTTTTAATTTTTTTTTTTTTTTAAATTTGAAACAGGGTCTAAATTGCATAGGGACTTGTTAAGTTTCTGAGGTTGGCTTTGAACTTGCCATCCTTCTGCCTCAGCCTCCCTAGACCCTGGGATTACAGGCATGCGCACTGAGCCTGGATTTCTATCCATGAACCATGATACCATCTTGAAGTCCCTACCCAGAATCAGCTCTTTCTGTGGTCCTTTGTAATAGTTTCTATCCTCACTCTTTCTCTCCCACAAATAATATTCATAGGTGTTACTAATATGTTCAGATACAGCAGTAGAGGCCTTCCTTTCTCTTTCCCCTGGGTGATCTAATCTTCTAATAGGACTTCATGTCTTACTTCTGTGGAACAGTCTCTTACCTTGACTTTCATCTTTGTATCTTGGTAGACATTCCCACCTTGACAACCCACAGGCATCTAAAATTCAACATTTTATAAATGCAGATCCATTAGTGTCTCCATAAAGTGTGTTCATTCTCCTTCCTGTAGTCAGTGTCATGATGGCTTGCTCACAGATGTGCTCTCCATGTCATGTTTGTCGTGTTTGAATGAGTGAAAAATGTAGAGTGGAAAGTGCTGCCTTCCTTCAACATTTCCAAGATCAAAACATTGGAATTATTTTGTCTTCCCTTATGTGCACACCCATTTATTTATGACATTGAGACTCAACCCTGCAGTGTTCCTCCTATCCTCTTCTTTGGATATTAAATTCTCTACATTCTTTCTCACTTTAATGAAAGCAAGAGCTACTTCTCACATATCTTTAGTTTTTTTCCCAACCTCATATAGACTTATATACTCTTTCTCTCTTCATTACCAGTCTCCAAAGTTGAAGCACTTTGTCAACTTCAGCTTTTACATGTGTCAATTGCTACATAATTTTAGCTTCTCCATTTAAATTTTTTTTCTAGTGTCTTTTTATTTATTTATTTATTTTGGGTCCCAGGGATTGAACGCAGGGGCACTCAACCACTGAGCTATATCACCAGCCCTGTTTTGTATTTTATTTAGAGACAGGGTCTCACTGAGTTGCTTAGAGCCTCCCTTTTGCTGAGACTAGCCTTGAACTTGCAATCCTGTGTCAGCCTTCCAAGCCTCTGGAATTATAGGTGAGTGTCACTGTGCCCAGCTTGTCTCTATTACTGCTTATTAAACTCTTTTCTACCTTAAATTTCCACAGGTCCCTGAAACTGAGAATTGCCCAAATTAAACTAGAATCACATTCCTCAAGACTGTACATCATTTTGTTTAATGCTATAACCTCTTACCCAGATGCCACATATGACCTTGCAAATCTTTCTTCTCTTTATTCCTATCACCACTTAAATTCTATGAGCTATCATCTCTGACCCACTCCTATGGAACTATATTTCTGTGTGTCTCCTATTTATCTGTCCATGTAGCTCCCCAAAATAACTGAATGGAATGCTACCAAATTTGGCAGTGAAAAATATAGGATATGTGACATTCATAAAATTCACTGTGAACATTCTGCTAGGAAGAGGGATACTTCAAAGATAATGTTGGGGGTAGATGAAACTTTGGTACAATAAGCCCATATGATTGTGTTCCAAGAGAAAATTTTTCTCTGCAGGATACTATGGACAGAAGAAACAAACAGCATGTTCAGAACTCAGCCAATAGTCACAAGTCATATGGACAGCAGATTTTAATTGTTGCATTGATAAAGAGTTTAGATGTTTCTTACAAGGGCAACTCTGTTTTCACTTCAGTTTTGAGGCATGAATTTATATGTTCAATGATGGTTAATTATTTTCTAAAAGAACTATGGTGAGACAAGTTAATGGTAACACCACACTGATATGCATTAGTTTCATATATGCTTAGAATTTATTTAGAAAGACAGTATTATCCACTCCTCTCATTTCAAGCTAAACGGCCCATATCACAAAGAAGGATCTTTTTTCCTTTATGATTCATCAAAAAGAGGAAGCTGCAATTACCTGTAGCAATAACTTTAAGACATCCTTCTGATTACCATGGAGATGGTCCTTTTTTCCCCCAGTCAAGATGACCAAGTCATTAGAATAGGGTTGGGACTCTGAACCGGCCTTAGTCTGGTACTTATCACCTCTTCCTTGATTGGTGCAATGGCCTTATAGTCTGTCTTATTTCCTCTAGGCTCATTTCACTCCATTCCATAATTATTTCCAAGAAAATTATCTTTCTACAGGACAGATATGACCATATAACTTGAAAAAAAAAAAAAACTTGGCTTACATTGAAATCCACATCCCATATTATGGCATATGAAGTTTTAGTGTCTCCCTCCAGTATCTTGCTTTTTTAGATTCATTACTCATCACTTTCCTTCCATCCATCATGCATTTTATCCTGTTCCCTGAATGTACCATCAGCTTTCTTGCACTCATTTTTTAGTACATGTTCTTTTTTTAATTAATAGACTTTCTATTTTAAAGCAGTCTTAGTTTTATAAAAAAAAAAAAATTGCTGAAAAGTACACAGAGTTCCTATATTCCCCCTCCACTGGCTTCCCCTGTTCTTAACATCTTGTAACAATGTGTTATATTTGTTACGATTGGTGAACCAATATTGGCACATTACTATTAACTAAAGTGCATAGCTTATATTCGGGTTTATTCCTTGTATTGTACTCCATGGAGTTTTGACAAGTATGTAATGACATATATTTACCATCACAATGTTACACAAAACAGTTTCACTGTCCGGAATATGCATTTTGTTCCATCTATTCATCTCTTCTTCCCTCTCCCAGCCTTGTGGCAACTTCTGATGTTTTTGCTGCTTATAAGTTTTGCATTTCCCAGAATGCCCTATAGTTGGAATCATACTATATGTAGGTTTTTAAGATTCGTTTTTAAAAATGTCTAGTAAGGCGTTTAAAGTTCCCCTATGTATTCTCATGGATATACTTTTTATTATTGTATAATATCCTACGTATGGCTGTACTACCATTTGTTTATTCCTTAACCCAAACTAAGGTCGTGATTGCTTCCAAGTTTCAGCAATTATGAATGAAACAGCTATAAACATTCATGTGTGGGTTTTGGTGAAGACATACATTTATTATTAGTTGGATAAAAACCAAGAAGTAGGATTAGCTTTGTAAGCAGCTGCCATCTTGTCTTCCAAAGTGGCTGTATCGTTTTACTTTCCCACGAGCAATGAATGAGTTTCTGCTGCTGCCTATCTTTGCCAGCAGTTGTTGTTGTTGGTGTTTGGGATTATAGCCATCCTAATCTGTGTATAGTAGTATCTTATTGTTCATTTAATTTTCAAATTTCTTCATGACATATGATGTTGAGCATCTTTTCATATGCTTATTTGCCATCTGGGAATCTTTGGTGAAGTGTCTGCTCAGATATTTTGCCCATTTTTTTTTTTCAGTTGAGTTGTTTGAGTTTTAATTGTAGAGTGTTAAGAATTTCTCCTATATTAGGTAGGTGTTTTGCAAGTGCTTTCTTCCAGTCTTAGTTTCTTGTTTTATCTTAATTCTTCTTTTTTTGCAGAAGAGAAATTTTTAATTTTAATAAATTCCAAATTATTAATTTCTCCTTTCCTCAATTGTTCTTTTAGATTTTTACCTAAAAAGTCATCACCAAACCCAAGCTCATCTAGATTTTGTACTATGTCTGTCTTCTAGGATTTTTATAGCTTTGTGTCTTATGTTTAGGTCTATGATCCACTTTGACAAATTTTTGTAAAAGAAGTAAAGCCTCTCTCTAGACTTTTTTTTTTTTGGGGGGGGGGTGCGGATATGAATGTCTAGTTTTTCGAGTGTAATTTCTTAAAGACTACCCATTTTTCTCCACTGATTTGCTTTTGCTTCTTTTTCAGGTAACTGTATTCTTTGAGTCTCTTTCTGGGCCTTCTGTTCTGTTTGATTGAATCTATTTACCTGCTTCACCAGGCCCTTCACAGCCACTTTCACTTT